TAAAGAGCAACTCCCCCACCTCGCCTTACTGACCTGTCTTTCCTGAGAAGGGTATAGCCACCCATGACTACATTCCAGTCATGGGAGTTTTCCCACCATGTCTCTGGAATTGGCACCAGGTCCAGGTCATAATCTCCTGACCCAACATGGATTTCTAACTCCTCCTGCTTGTTCCCCATGCTGCACGCATTGGTGTACAGGCATTTCAGGGAGTGAGCTGAGCACGCCTGTTTCACCCTAGGAGGGTGGGAGGACCCCCGGTCTTTATCAACACTAGAGTGCTGCCCCACTGTTGCAAGCCCAGTTTCAGCCCCATCCCCCTTCAAATCTAGTATAAAGCTCTCTCAATGAGCCCTGCTAGATCATGTGCTAGGATTTGTCTCCCCCTACGAGACAGACAAGTTCCATCCCTCGACAACAGGCCAGGGGTTGAGTAAACCGCCCCATGGTCAAAGAACCCAAAGTTCCTGTCTCAACACCAGTCCCTCAGCCAATTATTCACGACTTGTATTTTCCTAGCCCACCCCATGTCCTGCACGTCCCCACAAGGTATAGAACAGAACACGACTTGCGTACCTGCTCCTTGAACTATCCGCCCTAAACCCCTGAATATGCTTTCTACTAGTTATAATATAAACCTCCAAAACTTACTAGCTGCTGAATATTAGCAATATCTGAGTCAGTATCTCATTCAACTAGAGAAATACTACCCACAATTAATATAACAAAGTAGGTAAAAATAATTATGCAGCTCTTTGAAAAATAATTTTTTTTCCCCTTACAAAGACTTAAAAGGGATAACGCTTGTGCTTACCTCTGCCTACATATATCTCTTATACAAGCAGCTTTAGCAATCAGCTTTTCCCATTGGGTATCTCTGTCAACAGACAAAGAGGGCATACCAGACATCGCCAAGAACTTCTGCAGTTCCGGGTAAATTCGATCCTAAAAAAGATTACATTTAAAAATTATCATCACATCTTTAAAACTTGGTGACAAGATTTTCAATTGCTACCATTTCTACATGACCTCTAAATACCACTTTTATTCCATACCATGCTTTACCTTTCTTCACTATTAGAATCTAATGCTGCATTGAGATCTAACTGGCTTGGGAAGACCAAATCTCTATTGCTACTTTATAAACAGAGAAGAAAATTATTGCCATGTAACTAGGCTCTTGTTTTTACTGCAAATTATGAAAAGCAGAAAGCTCTCCTTCAAACAATTTTTTTCCCTAACTCCAGTCTGAGACCTGATGAAATTAAAAGCAGGTTTAATGGAAGACATACTACTGAAATTTTTCACTAAAACAGAATCAATATAGGCACCACTGCCACAGTTTACTTTATACTGCTGATAACGAGATACTAGCATAAGCAATGTTCCAAAATTAATTTTCTTTCTTGCTCAGAGGTAATGAAGTTTTTCAACTATACTTATCTTAATGACCCTACAAGAATTTTCTAACCTGTCTTTCCCATAAGGATGTCATCAGCCGCAAAGCAATTGATCTAAGCTTTGGAGTGCTCCACAGCATGTGTATGGCACGTAGAATCTGAGCTACACAAACCTGAAAGAAATTTTTTAACCATATATCACTGTTATTTTTTATGTCCAACACCAAAAGACAGATAATTACTTTACAACTAAGTACAACAAGGACATAACTTTCCAACTGTAATGTCAGAAAGAAACTGGAAGTCATTTTTGGAAAAACTTCAGGGCATAATGAGTCCAAGAGCATCTTCCTATGATATACATACATAATGATGATACAGTGCAGGCAATAAAGCATAATGTACATTTTACTCTTTAAAACAAGTGTCATGTCCCATACAAAACATTAGAAAGTTATGATAAAGCTTACAAATCAGTTATTTTAAACAAGCTATGCATTCTTCATTTGAAATAATTTTTTATAAATAAATGACCTCTTATTGATATAGTTTTTGTTTTACTAAAAAAAAATTCAGTCTGACCTTGTGTACACCCAGTGTAGGCAATGTATATAATATATCCCTGTAAAGTGCAGGCTCCAAAGGTCTTCCCAATTTAAATATCAGAACAGGGATCAGATTTGGGACCTAAAATAAAACAAAAGCAGAAAACAGACTTGGAACTAGATTGCCAACATGGTATTCTACGTTAGACAGTGAATTTGTCAGAACATATTAGAAACTCCTACATTTTTGCCTTACTTTTTCTTCTAATAGGAAAATTCTGTAATTCCATAGGACTTAAGACTTCTTTTTAAGTTATCATTGTAGAATCACCTTGTTATGCATGTTCAGCTGTAACCACTGCAATAATACAAATTCCACAATAAATTCATTTTTACTTGAAATTCCATTACAGGCACATTGAAAGGAACATGCAGTTGAAAATGGTGCATTAAAATACATATCAAATAAACAAAGAAACTATTCCAATTCAGTTTTGTCATTACACAGGAATTCTGATGATACTATTATTATATCCCACAAATCTGTCATAAAATACAATATAATTTACTGCATTCTTTAATATACAGCACAAAACTTCCAGAGAGCTGCCCCTGAAGCAACAATGAAGGAAAGAAGACTTATTTATCTCCATTTCCCCATTATTTAGATCAGATTTTCAGGATTTTCATACACGCAGGTCCTTCAGTTTTTTCTTGTGGACATTCACATCACTATGTTGTAAAAGAAAATCTACTCATGGTGGACTTGCTTTTTTTTCCCCACTTGATTTTATGGATACTTAAAAGTAATTACATAGCACTGGTTTACATTCTGCCTTTATACCAGGTGATTTTCACTTAGCCCCATGGGTTAGTCTCTGATAGATAAAACTTGTGTTAAAAGATAATATCATTCCGAAGAACAGAAAAGCTAATCAGGAAATTTGGTATTTAGCAGTAAGACATAGACACAATTATTTTGGAGTCTTCTGGCTTTCAAAAAACTATTTTCCTTACATGGTAAACAGGGTATAGAGTTCTCCATTTAACTTTTAGTATTTACCTCTAGAGTGAGTCACCCTTGGAAGAGTTTTTTTTTTTTCCTCTTTAACCTCAAATTACTGGAGGTAATTACTTCAAATTACTTTAGAAAACTCATTCAGTAGTAAGAAAGATTGGAGGTTTAAAGCAGGAGAATAAATGTGTATAAAACCCCATACACACAAGGCTGACCAACTCTTAAACCCAGTGTTTATAAGACTGGATCCAATCTTTGATCCAATCTTTAATCCAATCTCTAATTCAGCAATCTTATACCTCTGAAAATTTATCATGGTAAGGCTTCATATGTATGTGAAGGTGATTCATATATACGCTGGTTCAAAAAACTGTTAAAGGGAAATCCTGCTACAACATTCTCTCAATCCGCATTTTTACATAAGCAGATGACTTCAGATGATAAAGTTTTTCACTGTACAAAGGTCCATCTCAGTCCACAGAAACTACACAGTAAAAATTATGAATAACAATCCAAGGGTTCCAGGATTTTGCATACTTCCCTCTGTAATTAATGTTTCCAAATTAAAGACCAAAAGAAAAACAACCTGTTTATTCTAGAAGACATCACTACCTTTACAGCTGGGCAATCTGAATTCATGCTACCACAAGCTTAAAAACTTTGTTCTAGAATATATACTTAATACCTAAGGAATTAACTATAATATTTTTTGCTCTGCTTTTCTAAATACTACTTGGCATTCTTAAATAGAATAAATCCCTTTATAAACCAAAATTTCCCCACATTTTTGACAAATTAACTAGTTCCCCTCCCTCTATTTTCCAAGGTTGCTGTCTGCTATCTGTAGAGGTAATCATCACCCCATCACCTGCCTAGACAGAGGACTGCCTTTACTGTAAACCTTTCAAAGGAAAATCAATAAAAGTGACTGAGAATTTAAGGTAGCATTGATTTCAGCAGACTTTCACACCCAGGAGCACTTTCAATACAAGTTTAACAGTGCCTTGCTTTCCCACTTGTTTATTCCCATATACTTACCTAGCACCCTTCCTCCCCTTTCTTTCAGACCTTTGTATTGAAGACAAATTGGGCCATTTTCCAGCTTTTACTGTGTACTGGTTTTGCTGGGACCGAGTTAATATTTTCACAGTAGCTTGTATGGGACGCTGTTTTGGATTTGTGACCAAAACAGTGTTGATAACACAGGGATGCTTTAGCTGTTGCTGAGCAGCACTCACAGTGTCAAATCATTCTGTTTCTCATGCTGCCCCACCAGCGAGGAGGCTGGGGGTGCACAAGAACTTGAGAGGGGACACAGCTGGGACAGCTGACCCCACCTGACCACAGGGGTATCTCAGACCATATGATGTCATGCTCAGCAGTAAAAGCTGGCGGAAGAAGTGAGGACATTCAGAGTTACAGCGTTTGCAAGTAACAATTACAAGTGACGAAGCCCTGCTTTCCTGGAGATGGCTGAACACCTGTCTGCCAACTGAGAATAGTGAATGAATCCCTTATTTTGCTTTGCCTGTTTGTGTGGCTTTTGCTTTCCCTATTAAACCGTCTTTATCTCAGTACACAAGATTTCTCACTTTCACCCTTCTGATTCTCTCCTCCATCCCACTGGGTAGGAATGAGCAAACAGCTGCATGGGGCTCAGATGCCCACTGAGGTTAAACCACAACATGGACAAATTTGATTTTTTTAAAGTTATCTTTTATATAAAAACTAAACGGTAGATGAGCAAAATAGAAGTAAGGTCTCAGAGAAACAGATGAGGCAGGATCTGTCACGATAAAACTTCGTATGAAGCACAAAATCCTCCAATTATACACACATCCAGATTTCTAAATAAAAGTTTTAGAAGCAAGACTTCTTCCATTAGATGAATTTAACATTTTTATACACAGAAAATGGGTTAATTAAACATCCTGCCTTACACATATCACAAGGCTTAGATTTACACAAACAGAAGACTGGAAATCTGTACAGAGGCTTTTATAGGACTTGAGGCTGCAACTGCAGGTTTCAAAATACGTGTTATAAAACACAATCCATTTTCAGGATTTTAGAAATAATTAAGTGGAGGTTATTTGTTTATCTAACCATGCATATCTTACAGCATAGGTCAGCATACAAGGTGGCACTGCAAGTAGCTCATCTGAATATCCACAGCTCTAAGTGACAAACTTAGCTTTTCTTCTCAAACATTCCTCAGGCTTTGTTTTTTTGCAGGGTTTTTTGGTTTTGCTTCTTTACCCCCAAAAGCTGAAACTACAATAAAGACTACTATTACCGTAAAGCTAAGAGTAAGATGGACCACAAGAAAGAGTCACCCACCAAGATTTGGTTTTATATCATATTCTCCAGTGCTTTGCCCTTACCTTTTCTTCTCTGTTCAAATTAAGACCTTTTTCTTCCCTCCCCTCTGCTCTTCCCCACATGGCTTTATTATCATCACACCTCAACTGCTATTTCAGACACACGTAGCAATTGGAATCTTTCTGCCCCATCCTATTCTCTGGGGGCTTCCCTGAATTAATCCCATCATGTGCCCTAATCAGCACATTCCTCCTAGCTTAAATGTCTTTGAAATGCTCGGTCACACTTTGAAGACCATCATCACAATATTTTATAAATCTCAGCATCAGGAGTATTCTTTGTAATCACGGTATTCTTTAAAGTACAATAGTAGGTGAGGGAAGTAAGTAATTCCAAACTCTTGAGCACATGGCAGAGTTTGATTAACATATTGTGGTCCCAGTCAAAATTCAGTAATAAGATGTCTGCATTACAACTGAAAAACAGAACAAAGAAATTTTCACTCAAAACATGAGATTTAATTTGTTGCCCTACCTTTCCTTCCCACATCCCAACTGTAATATTTGTTTAGACTAACTTATGCACAAGGCAGTTTTATTCCTGCTTTGATCCTTGCCAAAGGGACAACAGCACTGCCTAAGAGACAACTATGTTCATTAGTACAGCGGAAGAAAATGAAAATTAACTTCCTGATCAAATTAAATAGAACTCAGAAGAAGACTTGAGTACCAAAGGCCCAACGCAAGAACCTGTTTTGGTTAAATCAAGCCTTAGGGAAAGGGAAGCTTGCACAGAAACCAAATAATACAGGAAGAAAACAAACAAACCAACCAACCCCAAAAAACCTCCTTGAAGCTAGGAGATTTGGTAGAAGGAAGCAGTTTTATTTCTGAGTACCTATTGTACCTTAAGTGTTAAGAAAAAAAATAAGACACCTGATTTACCTTTACCTAAATCTCTGAACGATACAAGGGCAGGCAACGAGCAAGCAATGGACATTCTATACCTCCAGGGAGTGACAATCATTAACACTAACAAAACAACCTGCATCACCATTTTAAGTCTCAACTCTGAAAAGAAGAGGGTTTTGTTAATTCCTTAAACCATACTCATCTTCGATTAATGCTGTCGTTGTCTTACCCTGTGCTGGACAAAAAGGCTACATAAAACATCAGTAGAGACGTCAGATATGTCATTACAATGCTTAAACTCCTTACCTAAAATTCCTTCCTTCCAATCTACCCCCATAGTGCCTCTTCCTTTCCCAGAGGCTTGGTCTTATGCTACCCCATTTGGTCTTAAGCTAGTTCTCTGTTGCATAGGCTACTTCCAGAGTTTTTCTCAGTGTAGCTACATTGGACTATGCACATGACAATAAGACTGAATGACATTAAAAATAAATTATAATAAAAAAATATTATATTCATAATCCCTAGCCACAAAAGCTTTCAAAACCTTTAAAGTCAGTCTGCTCAGGCCTAGGCTTTGTCAGCTGTGATGAGAAGTTAATTCCAAGTTCTGTGTACGCATTACTTTTCTAGTTTTGAAGTTTATTCTACAATAAACAGGTATTAAATCAAAGTTCTACAATGACTTTTACACTAACATCCAGAAAACACATGGTAAGTTCTATTTTTGAAATTCTTAGGAAAAGACTAAGCATCTGCTACTACAAGGCCAGTTACCTATTTCCTTAAAGGTATTGTCCTTTATAGTGTACTTGTTTTGAACTGTATATTCAAATTATTAGCTAGGAGAAAACCAAAATGTTTTAGTATAGCAAAGCTGTTCCCCTCTCCATC